TATTTCGTAGGGATTAAGTCTTCTTGAATACAATATAAATCAGCACCCGTATCAATGAGGGCCATGACTTCGATTTCAAAATCATTAATAACTAGTTTGACTTTCGAATGCCATTTTTGAATATTTTTTCGATTGAATATGTTTAATCGAGTATTGTCTTGATTATCATTGTCACTATAAGATTTGGTGGATTCATTATCAAAGATGACGCAATTTGGATTATGAGTAGAACTAGAATCATCGGAGGAGGTGTCATTACTATTTTGAAAATCATTTAGACTTAAGTATGGCAATTTCTTCTTCTAATGATTTATCCTTATTTTTTAGTTCTTTAATAATTGTTTTAATTTGATAATTTCATTTTGTAAATTTTGTAAAGTTATTTCTTTATGTTTATCTTTTCAGAATCTTTCTACAGTAGTGGTTTATCTTGATGAGGTTTATTGTCTCCATTGATTAATAATGATTTTAATTTATTGGTATATTTTCTTTTTAATTCAGGATTCTCAATTAATGAATCTTCTTTTTGTTGTGATTTACTAAGAACAATGACTTGTTTATAGTAAGTATCGTTACATCCTAATTCAATTTGATTATTATCGGTATCAGCAAGTATCGTTATAGTAAGTAGAACTTGATGGGTTATTATCACTTTAAGATTTACTAGAAGTATGAGAAGATTGGCTATTATTTAGGTTAAATATTTCAAATATTTGACTTTGGTGTTCTTCAGTAATTTATAGTTGATTAAGCTTATCCTTAAGTTTATCTTTGACTTTACATTTATTAGAATAATGACCATTTTTACCACAATTGTAACAAGTAACAACTTGGGTGGATTGCGACTTCTTAGAGTGTTTAGTTTTCTTGTGATATTTCTTTTTTAAGTTTAGCATAATATTTATCAAGTGATTTAGAAGGTGAATATTTTTTACTTTATTTGGTATGTGTTTTTATGTGAAGATGTAGGTTTATTATGTTTGCAACGTGATGGCACGATAGGAGGTAGACCATACTGTTCGCAAAAGTTACCTAATTCATATTTAGCTTTATGTTTATCCCTAGCAGCTTTTTGACTGAGTTTAATGTCGATACACATTTTTAATCCTTCTTTTTGAATGGTACTAATTATATCACCATAGGTTAAATTATCATATTCAATGATACCAGTAGGTTGACTAAGGACATCTCTAAGTTTGTGAGCAAAAAGATTAAGTAAGCCATTAATAAATTTTTCTTTCCAAAATGATTTAGTACAATCATCTCTAAGCATAACTCGTGAAGTAAAGACATCTTTGTACTACCTAAAATCACTAAGTGTGGGGCAAGTAAAATTACTAAGTTGATCATGGATTCGTGAATGAACATTAATAGGTGTTCCGATAAAATGTTTAATGATAGTAAATATTAAAGTATTAATTCCATCAGGTTTACTCATACCTATTTCTTCATCAAAGATAAGGAATTCATTTTCATCTACTTGGATGGCATGTTGAATAGTTTCGCGCATATCATTAGTGAGATATTTGTCCCACCAAGATTTAACCATTCCAGTAAAACCAGAGGTAAGTAGAGAGACAATCTCAGGTTGGGTATAATCAGGCCAATTACTAAGATAGCTATTTGCTACCATAGACGTGTGATTTAATTTTTGAACAATTTGATTTTCACTAAGTCCATCAATATTCCATTCATACAATTTTTTAGCAAAAAAAAAAAATTGATTAGTGATATTAGTTTCTTCAAATTGAAGATCAGGTGGTGTCGGTCGGGTGTACCAATTTTTAGTAACAGTACGGTTAACTTTTGGATGTACTAGTCGATTGAGATTAGTAGTTTGAAATTGTTGTTCTAATTGACTAATTTCATGATTAGTAGCTGTCCTTGGAAGGGGTAGATAATTTGGTAAATAATTATTCAGTAGCGTCAACTATATTAGTATCATGGGTGACTAAACTTAATCTATTCCTAGAGCTAGGAAGGTTAATAAGTGGTTTCTGCAGAGTTTTACTAGTAGATGTATGGCTATTTGAATAATCATCAAAAGTAGTCTCAATTTTATCTAACTGTTTACCAATAGTTTTTAAACATTGATTTGTACAATTATTTTGTTCAATAACTTTTTTAAGGATGCAAACAAAATAATAAACAACTACCAACATCCACGGACACATGTCCGGATCACTGTACAACAAGGGTAAACCCGGGATCGCTATAAGGATGACTAGAATAAACGGTAGTATTCGTGAAAGTTTTCCATTTGGTTTTTGTAATAGTATTTATTTTTTGATAATAATTTTCCAGATAATCAAAGAAATTGACTTCAGTACCTAATTCATGCATAAATTTACCCCATTTCCTAGTGATTTTGGATTGTTGTTGCTCATTATAATTAGTCTGACAAGTGTGTCGGTTTAATTTATTATCTTTAAACTTAAATTCAGCATGGAGTTTATTAAGATTGGGCGTAAATGGTTTACTAATGGTTAATAATTGAGGATTAACAGGAGGAATGACTTCAAAATCAGTTTGAGTGGGTGAATCTTGAGATGTGGTATCTTCATCATGGAGATGTGTTTGTGTTGAATAAACGGGTTTACTAATCTAAGATGTAGAGGAATTATCTATGCCTTTTAACTTACTTTCATTAGTGTGTGAAGGTTGACTAATGTGAAGTTTTTTGTCTCTTCAAGTAAATAAAGGAGTACTAAAAATTTCGTCGTCATCAATGGGGATACTGAAGATACTATGACGAGAGGATTGACTACAAGTTAGGCGATTAAAACAGATATGGACTGAACCATCATCATATTGTTGAATTTGTTGGACATTATTACTACTAGATTGGTATGGGTGAGAATAATTTTCATTGATTGTAACCCAACTATGACGGAGAGTTACTTTTTTTCCAACAAATAGTTGTAGGGACTTCGATATTTGTTTCATTAGTACTACCATGCATGAGTAAGGTTTTGTCTTTCGGACTCTTAAATAAGGCATGAACATTAAGATTGATCTTTATACATTTATAATAGATACAATATATTAAAGCAATAGAATGTGCACCACCAAGCATATTAGTAAATACACCAGAAATTTAGGTATTCAATGTTAAAGCTTTTAATATGTGAGGATCTCGGAGACTGAAAGTAAAATCAAGAAAGCAATTAAAATGGATTGGACCTTTATGAAGACCTGATTCCATCATACCCATTAAACTATCATAATAATTGATAAATCGAGCATCTCATAAACATAACAAAACAGAAGAATTACATCATTGAGTCGTTAATGGTTTGACTGCTACTTGAATTAAGCCTATATGAATAAAATTATGACCAATGGATAGATGTTTTCTGATTGATTCTTTAGTTCATAATTGACATGTTTCTTGAATTTTTGTTAAACCATAAACTTGTTCAACAGTTTTTACATGTAAATCTATGTTAAAAGATGACTTAAAAAAACTGATTTTATAAATTTCTTTAATTGTTATTTTTGGGATATTCTAACTTAAATTGATTTTTAAATCTTGAAATTCATGTTCTTCGTTTATTACTGTATCCAGTATGGGAGCTCAGGTTGTCAATCTAGAGTTGACTGAATAGTTATTTCTGAATAATCGACTCATGGTTCTAAATTCTATAAATGGTTTCAAGACAATCTAAATTCTTTGATGACTTATCAAATTTTCACATACTATGCGTTCGCTCATACCCTTTTTGGGAACCCTTATATCCTTCTACAGCCTATCCTAAGGACTTAAACTAGATGTAGGACGAAAAGTGAGTGGCTACTAGCAGAGTGAAAAATTAGTGATAAGTTGGGAAGAATAAAGAAGATGTGAAACAATTTACAAAAATAGAATAAAGAAGATACAAACAGAACAACTAATCAATTAGCATGACCACAACTTGGCTCTGATACCATTTATAGAATTTAGAACCATGAGTCGATTATTCAGAAATAATTTTTCAGTCAGTTCTAGATCTATAACCTTAGCTCCCATACCAGATACAATAATAAACAAAGAAGAACATGAATTTCAAATTTTAAAAATCAATTTAAGTTGGAATATCCCAAAGATACCAATTAAAGAAATTTATAAAACCAAATTTTTAAAGTCATCTTTTAACATAGGTTTACAGGTAAAAACTATTGAACAAGTTTGTAAAATATTTTACACCTAAAAATATTCTTTATGTAAATTGATTTTGTACACACACACAAAAACACACACACACACACACACACAAAAAAAAAAAAAAAATTACTTTTCAGTATTTAATTGACACTTGAAAAAAAAAAACAAATACTCTATGGGTAGAAACCAATAAAAATCTACCCTTTCACTTTTGAAAAGTTCAATGTGTTGGAATAGCCAGGTTGAAATTGAATTTCTAAAAATTGACTTACCAAATCTTTAGTGACAAATTATTTTGGAGACTATGACCAAAAATAGTTTTCTTAAAAACATATTTTACTTATTCCTTATTTATTCAACTGAACAATAAGAAATATGCCAATTATTTAAAACAAAAGACATTTTCCGTCAAATAAAAAAATAAGAATATATATAATATTTTCTTTATACAATTTATTTTCTTTCTTTTTGGCAACCAAGAGATATTTAGCTAGTACCACACACGTGGGAGTTTAAATTCAGTACAATACTATGTCACCATTAACTAATAATAACACAATTAGGAGAACTCACTATTTAAATATAATTAAAAATTCAATAACTATTACACGTGCCTAACCTAATGCATCGAAAACTCTTTAAATAAATTACCAAATATTATGTTCAATTGATAGAATAATTATAATCAAATATCACATTATGTATAATATAATTATAATCAAATATTACATTATGTATAATTAAATAATTTTTTAATTATAATTAAAATAATAACATAATTAATATCATAATATATCATAACTAATAACATAATAAATTATAATCAAAGACATAAAAATTGTAATAAAAAATTACATACAATTGAATTTCCCATTAAGTTGTGATATTACTTGAATTTTGATTGGTACCAAGTGGGGCCAGTAACAACACCCCCCACTCTTGTCTCTTTCTATTTTTTATTTGGTCAAGCAAGACGGCTCCATGTGAACCGCAAAAGCAAATTCAACAGAAGGAAGAAAAATGAGATTTCACACAACAAAACGAGTAAATGCCCCCCACCTGGATCACTGAAACCCCCAATTGAATTTCAGCATTACAAATCCCCAATTTTCAAACTCACTACTCACCTTTAATCACAAACTCAGTTCACAGTTCAGACCACCATTATTATTTTCTCATCTTCCTCCTCCCTTCAAACCCAACCAACCAAAGGCTACTCCTCTGCAACAAAACACATTTAAAAAAAAAAATGGCTGAGAGTGCAGTGTTCCATCTACTAGCCAACTTCACACCCTTCCTCCAACAAGAGGCCAATTTGTTGACTGGAGTTCGAGATGAGATCCAATACATCAGAGATGAATTTGAGTGCATGACAGCTTGCCTCAAAGTTGCCGATGCTATGGAAAAGAACAACCCCGAACTCAAAGTATGGGTCAAGCAAGTCCGAGAAGCTGCGTACGACATTGGAGATGTTCTTGAGTTGTTCGTGCCATCTTGAATAGATGCGAGGGATTGCCACTTGCAATTGTGGCAATTAGTGGTCTTTTTTTATCAACAAAGGATAAGAGCATTGTGGATGAGTGGAATAAGATCTACCCCAGCTTTGGTGTAGAACTAGAAGGAAATGACAGACTCCTAAGCATGAAGAAAATATTGTCCCTCAGTTACCTTGATTTACCCTATTATCTGAAGTTTTGCTTTCTCTATCTAAGTGTTTGTCCGGAGGACTGTTTCATTGACCATTGGAGATTGATTCGATTATGGTTGGCAGAAGGATTTGTAGAAATGAAAGCAGGAATGACGGTAGAAGAAGTTGCTGAGGGCTACCTCAATGAGCTAATCAATAGAAGCTTAGTTCAAGTGGCAGAGATGAGATCAGATGGAAGGATCAAAACGTATCGCATCCATGACCTCTGGCATGAAATTATTGTTTCCAAGTCAGGAGAGCAAAACATTGTGACAATAGCTGGTGAACAAAGAAGAGTGTGACCTGAAAAGGTGCGGCACTTATCAATCCACAATCATTTGGAAAATACACAGCAAAGCAAGTGTTTCACTCAACTTCGTTCTTTGCTTATGTTCAATGCAACAGATTCAATGTCCAAGTTCCCCATGCTTGCATCATCAAATGATGGTCTACAGTTGCTAACTGTGCTAAACTTGAAAGGTGCCTTGTTGGAGACATTCCCAAATGAAGTTTTGAAACTAATTCAACTCAGGTATGTAAGTTTGAGGGGAACCAATGTAAAAGTAATTCCAAAGTCGATTGGAAAGCTCCAAAACCTGGAAACATTGGACCTTAATGCTGTGTTTGGTTAGAAGATTTGGGGAGGGATTTGGAAAGGGAAAGGGAAAAAGGTGTGTGAAACTAGGTGAAATGTAAGTATATTTTATTCACATTTCACTTAACTTTTCCCTTTCCCTTTCCAAATCCCTCTTCAAATCCTCCAACCAAACACAGCGTAAAGATACGTATGTCACTGAGTTGCCTGATGACATCCTCAAACTCCAACAACTTCGCCATATCTTGTTGTATCGCTACAAACAAGATCTTGTTCCTTCCATTTGTTTTCAACACCATTGTGGATTCAAAGCCCCGACGGAAATAGGAAGTTTGTCATCCTTACAGAAACTTTGTTCTATTGAAACAAACCATGATAATGGAACCATTTTACTAGGAGAGGTAGGGAAGTTAACTCAACTGAGGAAATTACGCATTGAAAAACAGAGAAATGAAGATGGGAGGGTGTTATGCTCGTCCCTTGAGAAGCTTAGTGACCTTCGCTCATTAGTTGTTCGTGCAGCAGGAGAAGACGAGATCATTGATCTAGATTCTCTTTCTTCAACTCCTCAACTTCTTTGAACGCTCTACCTAGTAGGAAGTTTACATAAGGTACCGCATTGGATACCTTCATTGCACAATTGGTAAGAGTAATTTTAGCATGGAGTAAGTTGAAGGATGTTGATCCACTAGAATCCCTTCAAGGTTTGCCTGATTTGGTTGAACTTCAACTTCGTCGGACATACGAAGGGAAAGGATTGTGTTTCAAGGCTAGTGGATTTCAAAGACTTGTGAGATTAGGACTTGCTGGATTAAAAAGATTGAGACGGGTGAAAGTGGAGGCTGGCTCGATGCCTCATCTTGAAGAGTTATTTATCTGTGAATATAAATTGGTGGAGGAGTTACCCTATGGCATTGAACATCTAACCAGCCTTAAATCTCTTTATTTTGTTGATATGTCTTATGGATTGAGTTTAAGCCTGGACATAAACTTAGAAGGTGGGAATTATTGGAAAATTGCACACATTCTAGAAGTTTGGATTGGGGACACAATATCTGGCTCTATGCAAGGAACTTATCTATAGCGAGAGAGGAGATAGCTCTAACCATATTGGAAACCACTATATTTAGAATGCGTATTATGTATTTATTTATTTTCACATGCTCTTAGTACTTGACTTCTTGTATTCATATTGATATCAAATTTTTGTCTTTTTTTTCTTCTCCTTTTCATTTTTTTCAGTAGATCGGGAGCTTGTTATTTGACCTCCTAATTTTGATCCTAGAGAGTTGGTAACTTCACAAGTTTTTAAATTGGGATTGTAAATCTTAGGGTTAGTTTGGTGAGATTTTTATATTATTTTATTTATTTTGCTTTAGCTTTAAATTTTTTGAAAATTGAAATAAAAAAACTGTTTGCTAATTGTTCACTTTTAAAAAAACTGGCTACAGTTCTCAAAAATTGAGGAAATAAGAAAAATGTGGTTTTACTTATTTTCAAAACAAGTTTCATTCCTTCTTACCTCCCTCACCCTTCCATCCTCTGGCCAACGTCTCCGCTCCTACAACCACCTCCGACAACTCCCCCCATTTGGTAACTTACTATACTTGTTTTGATTTTGGAAAATGATATACAAGTTTTCTAAACTCGTTTTCTATATTTAGTACCGTATAAAATAGATGATTGGTTAATGATTAGAGGGAATATGAGATGGCAGCTACCACATTTTTTCTTCAAACCTTATTCAATCAAGCCAATAATTGTGATTTTTTTTTTAGTTGAATTTCTCTCAAGTTCATGCCCAAGGGGCCCATCACGAGTCCATTTCAATGATTCAAACAATTCTGTAAGACCATCAATGTATATTATCCGTGAAAAAAATTTAATCAATAAAATAATCGTAACATTTTTATTTTATTACATTACGTTTGGTGAGGTGGTTCTAGACATGTTTGTATTGGACAACTTTTTTTTTTTTTTTTATTGGCACTGAGGTATCCAGATCAAAGCCCTGCTAATCACCAAGGGTGCATAGACCCTGGGCAAGGAGTTTCTTGCAAGTGTATCACAGTCAATGCAAGGGTTTTCTCCCACTCTAATGACCCTAAGGAATTGTTAGCATTTAAGAGATTTCGATCCTTAAACCTTGGTGGGAGCACAACCCCAACACCTAAGGCCTTGCCACCAGGCCAACCCCTTGGGATTAACTTCTTGGCTATTTTTTAAATCAATTTTTCTCCAATCTTGATGGAGATTGTATATAATGAATGAGGTCTATTTTCATGACTCATTGATGGACCTCATTCTTTATGTACGACTGCTTTTTTATCTTGGTATCAAATTTCATTATCAAACCATCTTTTAAATGTCTCTTCTATTTGATCTCTTTATTCTTCTTCTAACAATAATGGTAGTGCACAGAAAAGTATAAACAAAAGCGTATGAAAAAAATGAATTTGTGTTGTGTTTTGTTCATTTTTAAGTGTGCATATTTGTGTGTGTATTTTTTTTCTCGTGCACGTAGCATTGCTCTTATGTCTAACACTTTTACATAGAACCTTGTAAACGAGTCAAGTTGAACTTAGTAAATAAGTTGTGCAAGTTTGACTTGAAAACTTAATGAACTTGGCTTGTTTATATTTCGAGTCGATCTCAAACTAAATTTAATCAAATGAATCATGAGGCGAAAAACAAAAAATGATTTAATGCTTTTGAAACAGGATTTCAACCAGTCCCATTCACCAGTAAGGCTAATACCAAGAAGTTCCATTCTCATACTAAAATAGTTAATATACTGATAACAATAAAATCAAAGTTCCTAAATTAACCACAAGAATTGAATTAATCAAAACCAGCTACAGTATCAAGGACTTTGCACCAACTAGGTTGCTATCTATCTGATATAAATTCTTTAGTCTAAATTTTCCTTTTGAAATGTCATCTTCTATAAATTCTCAAGCATCATCTGAATTTGAGCACAGCTCAAGTGGATGTACTTCCAGGTTCTAGAGGGAGGTTTGGCATTCGAGCTTATGGAGAAGCGTTGAATGCCCGGTTGAGCTAACTCTAACTTAATAACCCACTAACATCAAACATAGTGCTCCAAAAAAAAGAAGTCTAAGCATCATCTTGTAGCTGATTATCTAGATGTAAATAACATAAAATCAGAATTTCAATAGCTTTCTTTTCTCTCCTCTTATTTATCAATTTTATTCTGCACAACAAAAAGAACAATAGTATAGTGTTAAGGCAATAGAAACCTTGATTTCGGATGTGGCTGTGACTTCAACATATGACATGGACTCCAAAAGCCTCAAGAACAATGAAATTTCCAAATTGTGCTATAAACAGCAATGAAATTAACATTACTCCCCATGTGTATCGTGGTAGCAAATTTACAGACAACATTAACCTACATCGACTGATCATGTTGGAATCTTTCAAACCTTCACATCAGAAAAGATATACAGAAAAATCAATAATACAAAAACCTAGTATTATACAAAGCAGTGGCATAAAAACTCCAAAACAGGACAACCAAATCAGAAGATGTTTTAGCAACTCTTAGGCCTGGAGTATTTTGGGGGAAGAGATGGGCACCTTTCATTCATATGCAGGTATGGATCCATTGTATTGTATCCTTGTAGTTCGATCCGATACTTCCCTCAAATTTGGCAGAAAGGGAGCTTCACGGTGTCCGCGCCATTGCACCACTTTGGCAGGCGGTTTGAATTGTTTTCAAAGAACTTGAGAGTGTTATAAGCATATCTTTTATCTGCAGTTTGGACAAGATAAATTAACAAAGCAATAATATGTAAAATTCCTGACCTGGGTTTTACATCCACACAACAATCAATTTCAGTTGAACATCCATATAACTTACCCATACAGTTCAAGATTATTTTGGTGATAGTAAAATGAAAGATAAATTACATAAATAGTCCCTAAAGTATACCATTGATTTCATTTTGGTCTATAATCTTCAATTTGTATCGATTGCATCCCTGAGAGAGAGAGAGAGAGAGAGAGCCCAAATTAATCGGGCGAGAACAATCGTTGCCACTTCTTCTTCATCAATGGAAAACCCAAGACTTTCTTCGATTTCGATGAAGCTTCATTCTGACTATTCCCTAGATTTCGTCATTGGGGTTTAGGGTTTTGGAGGTGAAAGAAAATGGAGGGTCGTAGGTATCTTCGTTTGGGTATTGAGATTGGGTTAAAAAACTAGAGATAGAGAGAGAGAGGAATGTGGGACAGGTTACACGATGAAAGGAGATGAATGAGTGTTTAGGGTTTGATGTTTTGAAAGATGCCATGGAAAGACCTTTTTACTAGCATCTGTGTGAATCACACCACGGCGCAAAACAGTTGGGCAGTTAACTATCGCTTGAAATGTGAATCCAAAATATTTTTGTATTAATAGGTCTTTAGAGTGACGACATTTTGCGCTCACTTCTTAACGCTGCTTTTGGTTGAAGTAAAATTTAAAAAGAAAAAAAGAAAATATAAGTGAAATTTGAATAATAAAAATGTTGGAGAGTTCCAAATTAAGCGCTCTAAAGGAGTTTTAATAAGTGGGGTCTATCTATTAAAATGATGTTTTGATCCTTTTTTTTTTTATTTGAAAAATGATTGAGAATTCTAATAAAGGAGCTCTAATTAGCTTTAATGGGAGTGAATCCTACTATGACGTAATGTTTTGTCCTTGGTTTTATTTTATTTTATTCTTTGTCACATCATTAAAGCTTCAAAATTATAGGAATGTATCATTGCTCTTTTTATTTTTTTATTTTTTTCTCATTGCCACATAAGTAGAGCTCTTAGGTCATGTTTGATTCACAACACTAATAGTGAATTATTAATAATCTTATTAAATTAGTGTGGTATTCACTATCCAATTGGATTAATATACATTGGATTAATAATCCCACCCCTACCCCATTACTAATAATCCTACAAATTTGTTGGATTAATTATCCATTGGATTATTAATCCTAAATCAAAATATTAAAACAAACATAAGATAATTAGGCCCACGGATTAATAATCTCAATCTCATGCTCCAATCCACCCAATCAAACATGCCCTTAGTGCTCTACTTTTGGAGCTCTCTATCACCACTCTTTCAATAAAATTTATTTATATTTTATTTATATTTATACATTTTTTTTATTTTTTTCTTCAAATCACTTTTAAAATTTTTCAACCAAACACAGCATAATGATAAATTACTAAAACCCTTCAAATTCTAACTCATTTGTAATTTCTCCATGGAAAATGATTTGGAGCCCTAAAAATACCCCCTTCTCTCCTCTTATTTATCTATTTTATTCTGCACAACAAAAAGAACAATAGTATAGTGTTAAGGCAATAGAAACCTTGATTTCGGATGTGGCTGTGACTTCAACATATGACATGGACTCCAAAAGCCTCAAGAACAATGAAATTTCCAAATTGTGCTATAAACAGCAATGAAATTAACATTACTCCCCATGTGTATCGTGGTAGCAAATTTACAGACAACATTAACCTACATCGACTGATCATGTTGGAATCTTTCAAACCTTCACATCAGAAAAGATATACAGAAAAATCAATAATACAAAAACCTAGTATTATACAAAGCAGTGGCATAAAAACTCCAAAACAGGACAACCAAATCAGAAGATGTTTTAGCAACTCTTAGGCCTGGAGTATTTTGGGGGAAGAGATGGGCACCTTTCATTCATATGCAGGTATGGATCCATTGTATTGTATCCTTGTAGTTCGATCCGATACTTCCCTCAAATTTGGCAGAAAGGGAGCTTCACGGTGTCCGCGCCATTGCACCACTTTGGCAGGCGGTTTGAATTGTTTTCAAAGAACTTGAGAGTGTTATAAGCATATCTTTTATCTGCAGTTTGGACAAGATAAATTAACAAAGCAATAATATGTAAAATTCCTGACCTGGGTTTTACATCCACACAACAATCAATTTCAGTTGAACATCCATATTTACTTACCCATACAGTTCAAGATTATTTTGGTGATAGTAAAATGAAAGATAAATTACATAAATAGTCCCTAAAGTATACCATTGATTTCATTTTGGTCTATAATCTTCAATTTGTATCGATTGCATCCCTGAGAGAGAGAGAGAGAGAGAGAGCCCAAATTAATCGGGCGAGAACAATCGTTGCCACTTCTTCTTCATCAATGGAAAACCCAAGACTTTCTTCGATTTCGATGAAGCTTCATTCTGACTATTCCCTAGATTTCGTCATTGGGGTTTAGGGTTTTGGAGGTGAAAGCAAATGGAGGGTCGTAGGTATCTTCGTTTGGGGATTGAGATTGGGTTAAAAAACTAGAGATAGAGAGAGAGGAATGTGGGATAGGTTACACGATGAAAGGAGATGAATGAGTGTTTAGGGTTTGATGTTTTGAAAGATGCCATGGAAAGACCTTTTTACTAGCATCTGTGTGAATCACACCACGGCGCAAAACAGTTGGGCAGTTAACTATCGCTTGAAATGTGAATCCAAAATATTTTTGTATTAAAAGGTCATTAGAGTGACGACATTTTGCGCTCACTTCTTAACGCTGCTTTTGGTTGAAGTAAAATTTAAAAAGACAAAAAGAAAATATAAGTGAAATTTGAATAATAAAAATGTTGGAGAGTTCCAAATTAAGCGCTCTAAAAGAGTTTTAATAAGTGGGGTCTATCTATTAATATGATGTTTTGATCCTTTTTTTTTTATTTAAAAAATGATTGGGAATTCTAATAAAGGAGCTCTAATCAGCTTTAATGGGAGTGAATCCTACTATGACGTAATGTTTTGTCCTTGGTTTTATTTTATTTTATTCTTTGTCACATCATTAAAGTTTCAAGATTATAGGAATGTATCATTGCTCTTTTTATTTTTTTATTTTTTTCTCATTGCCACATACGTAGAGCTCTTAGTGCTCTACTTTTGGAGCTCTCTATCACCACTCTTTCAATAAAATTTATTTATATTTTATTTATATTTATACATTTTTTTTATTTTTTTCTTCAAATCACTTTTAAAATTTTTCAACCAAACACAGCATAATGATAAATTACTAAAACCCTTCAAATTCTAACTCATTTGTAATTTCTCCATGGAAAATGATTTGGAGCCCTAAAAATACCCCCCTAATCCCCCTAATTTCCAATTTGGGAAATTTTTTCGTTTTTTTTTTTTTTTACTTGATATGGAAATTAGGGGGATTAGGGGGGTTTTTTTAGGGGGATGTAGCAATACCCTTTTTCAATTTGAACTTCAAAATTTAACTGGTGTGCACGCTCAACGAAGGTGAACACGTGCACACTATGTATGCACCCACATCTAACATGCGTACGCGCGTTTTTTTCTTGTTTAAAAAAAGGGCAAATTACATATACACCCCTCGAGGTTTGGCTAAATTACAGATACTCCCCTGAGGTTTCGGAAATTACATCCCGCCCCCTGAGGTTTGTATTTTCATAACAATTTGCCCCCTGAGGTTTATATTTCATAACAAATTACCCCCTAATTTCTTATGCAAATATAGCATTCAGGGGGGAATTCGTAATTTCTCAAACCTCAGGGGGTATCTGTAATTTAGCCAAACCTCGAGGGGTGTATATGTAATTTGCCCTTTTTTTAAATTTATAAAAAAATCATATCTTGTGTAAATAACATGACACATTTATTGAATTTTTAAAATAATAATATCTATGACACAAAGAGTTATTTTTAAAAAAATAAATAAATAAATAGATTTAGATTATTATATTTTTTTTGAACTTTGTTTAATGATAATTAGAGTTTGGGACACTAAAGTTCCTCCGTGTAGATTATTAATTTTTTTTTAAAAAAATTAAATTTTTTTAATAAGTGTAATAAGATAGTAGAAGTATGATTTATGAAAATAAAAAAATACCCCCAATATAATTTTATCATATTTTGTCCATTTTTTAAAAAATAGATGAAAAAAACATATAGGTTTCATTTGCTTTAATGTATTTATATACCTACATTGCACTAAAATAATCTTTTTATTTTCTAGTGTTTGGTTAATACTTCAAACTGAAACAAAAACTCTGTACAGTATGCATTGGGTAGAAACAAATAAGAAAATGAAAATGAGTTAATTAGACATTTTAACTAGTAACAGGTATTATATAACAATAATAATAGAAAGCTCTAATTTTAGAGTTTTAAAAAGAGCTTTAGTGATGTGGTAAGAAAAGAAAATAAAAAAATAAAACAAAAATATAGACACACATCACATCACGCATGAGCCTCATTCCTTGTTACATTACTAAAGTTCTCTTTAGAGTTTCAAAATTAAAACTCTTAATCTTTATTTATTATATAAAAGGTACATTGAAGACGTTTAGGCCATGTTTGTTTGGGCGGACTGGATTAGCATTCCGATGACTAATAGTCCTAGGACTACGAATCCGTTGGATTATGTATCCTATTTTAACTAATAGTCAAGTTAAAAATAATTAGTCCTTACTTCAATTGTTTAACCAAACATCGGATTAATAATTTTATTGGACTATTAGTCCAATCCCAAGCTCATGTCCACCCAAACAAACATGGCCTTAGTGTATTAGGGATGCTATTAAATCCACCATGGTATATTGATGACGTCTAGTGTATTAGAGATGCTATTAAATCCAGGAGCAATGAGACCTCCACAAAAATTTTACTCCCACAACCCCCACATCATTCTATGTGTGAGAGAGAGAATAAATAAACAAATAAAACAAAAACACACATGGACCAATCACACATATTTGGAGGTCATGAGAGGATCTCTAAATTGGGAGTCCCAAGCTTTTTTCTAAATCCAAGATAAGACTGTGATGACTTCATGGATTGAGAGAAGTCATAATATATTTTTTTTTGCCGCCTAAATCAAACCAATTTGTATATATGTATATATTTTTTAAATTTTTATTTATATTGACATGTTTTTGTCTTATTGTTATGTTACAATGAATTTTGATTACACTTATAATTTTTATATACAAAATTATCAGCTAAACGAAAAAAGTATTAGAAGCTTGGGTCAGATTTTGTAGTTGATTTAATTTGTATTAGTTGTATTAAATAATATTTTACTCTTAGTTTGTGGCATGTTTAAATGTTAAAAACTTATTTATTTTAATTATTTATTATTGAGTGATTTGCTTGTTTTTAATATAGTGGAATCGTGGTTTCAACTCGAATCAATCCAAGTTGGTTTGGGTTGGGTTAGATTGGTTTTAGTACATGATTGGTTTAGTTCTAAGTCCAAAAACTCAAAAACGATTACAATTGGGTTGGTTTCAAATTTAGTGACAAACAGACTATGAACACCTCTACTATGCATT